GCATGACCCATCGGTCTGTTACAATAGATAAAGGAAAGTATTTATCCTAAGAAGAAGAAGGAGTCCACAATAAGGACTTATTGTGTAACTTAAAAGTTATGATTGAAAGTCCAACATAGTACGAAAAGCAGATGCAAGATTTAGCATCACGGTTATTACTTAGGATGGAAAGATAACGTATGGAATAATTATACAAGCCCTATTTACGTTGATGATTCCGGGACGTAATCATCCTAAGGGGGAGATAATTGTAACGCCCGTAGATCCGGGCTAGACAATTTAGAGACGATAAGCGTCAAAAATGACTTTTTGATAAAAGATTATTTATAATGAATAATCTTAACTAAGTTGTAGTAGTCGTGGCAAGGTTTCCGAAAATATAAAGAATGTCGAAATCCGAGTTATAACGAATAAGTTATGACCTGTCGAAGTTTCGCGACAGAACCGGCACGACACAGCGCGACGTAAATAGTGAATTTATGATAGAGCGATATTTAGCCTTAGTGATCTAAACGAAAGTCGTAGAGTTCGTTAAACCGAGAGTGTGCATAAAAAGAACGTCCAAATCTGACTTCGTATGAGGAAGTTATGATTTTTCTAATTTTCAGCTTAGCAGTATGCAGCCCGAAGTTCGGATTTGAGATCGAGTGATTTCTAGCCGAAACAATCTAAACGAGAATCGAAGATCTCGTCGATAATAGTGCAACGGTAAAAAGACAGACGAAAACGGACGTCGGATGAAGAAGTTATGAAATTCTAACGGAGTTTTCCTGTCCCGGCCTACTAAAAATAATATAATAAAAATAAAGTCAAAATTAGCCGACGAAGTCTAGATGAAAGTTGTAGAGCATAGTCTCACCTACGCGTGGATATAAAGAACGTCGAAAACGGAGCTCGTATGCGAAAGTTATGAATTTTTGAAGATCGTGGCACGCATACCAAAGCTTATCCGAAGAGAGCCTGGGGATGCGAGGTACGCCCCGTGTACATGTCGACACCGAAGTACGCCCTGCGTACGAGATGGGTACGCGCAGCGTACTGCTGCTTTCCTCGGTCCAGAAGAGACCACGTGGAAGCCTTATCCGGAGTACGCCCAACGTAGGGCCTCGGTACGCCCAGCGTGGTCCGAGGTCTCGCTGCTATAAAAGGGCATGCGAGGCTGCCGATCTTTTTTCCAAATTTCTTTCCTTCTCTCTCGTTTTTACCTCGTTTTTCGTGCAAGAAATATCCCGAAGCCCCGGTATCATTCCCGAGCCCCGAAGCAAGTCCCGAAGCCCCGAAGATCCCGAGAAGTGAAATTTCCAAGCCGAAGCTCTGCCCGCGAGAAGCCCGGTTTTTGTGAAGATCTCCCGATTTCAGCGGAAAAGATTAGTTTAAGAGACGAGGTGTTGTCCGAACATCGTCTTATCAAGTGAGTGTATAGTTACTTTCTTCTAACACATAAATATGAAGTATTTGCTATGAAATACGTACTATGTGTTAATAAATTGTTTGTTTATCTGAGAAGGGTGTTTAATATGAAGTTTTGGCTATAAAATACGTGATATGTGTTAAATAAGTTGTTTGTTTATTTGAGATGGGTGTTGAATTCAATGTTTGGTACAAGTTTTAAATAAGTTAAACTGTATATGCATTTTATATCTACGAATATGTTGGGTAAAACATGAGTAGATAAATGATGAGGTATGAAAGATAATTAAGAATAATATTGGCAGATGCACCAAATAGTGAATGTCGTAATCCTGACAGATGCGCTAAAAGGATAATGTCGGCAGATGCGCCTAATAATGTATGTCGTAATCCAGGCAGTGGCGCCTAATAGTGAATGTCGTAATCCTGGCATAGGCGCTTAAAGGATAAAGTTGGCAGATGCGCCTTATGTAAGAATGGATTTTGTGCCAATTCCTTAGGTCAATCCTTATGAATGAATGAATGAAGGATAGTTGATTCTTAGGGTAAAACCTTAAGAAATAAAGAAGATAATGGGGATGGGTAATTGGATTGATTGTTTGATGATTAAATATAATAATTATATTATTGTGGGTTGAAAACCCTATATGCTTACCAGGCTCCCAAGCCTGACCCACTCAGTTTTCTTTGCATTACAGGTAATGACACAAGAGCATAAGTTGGTTGACATGACGAGAGATTTTGGATTATAGACCGGTAGTTATAAATAACTGTTGTAAGGTCTATTTTATATTGTTTATGCTTTTGGTCTGTATCGGAACATGACATCCCGAGATTTTATTATTTAATGAAAATTACATTCTTTTTGATAAATGTTTTGATAAAGTTTTATCATATCTTGTTTGGGAACAAATTCCGCAACCGTTTTCTTTAAAAGATTACTCTGATTTTTTTAAAAACAAAGCATAAACAAATCGGTCTTTTCTGGCCGTCAAATTGGGGATGTCACAAATTTTTTGAAATTAAGATCTTCAGTGTTGTGCCAAGCATTTGAAACTAAAATTAATCGGTTTATTCTTTCGTGGATTTGTCTTATAAAATGATGTAATTCGTTCACAATTTCATGATTTCCGTTCTTCCTTTGTAACGATTAGCATTTATGAAAACGATTAGAAAACTCATGAATTATGAATTATGGAGATGGTATGATTAAAGTTAAATCTAGGTTCATGAATATGGTGGTGATGCATGACACTTTTAGATGTGGTGGTGTTGAACGATGGTTTTGGTGGTGGTGTGAGAAAAAAAAATTATTAAATTAAATAAAAAACAAAATATAAAAATATAAATAACAAAAAAAGAGTAAGATAAAATGATCATTTTGTCAATTACTTAACGGTAATCGTCTAGCAAAGTTAGTACTAATGTCCGAAGTTAATAGATCATTTTTTTTCTTTATAAATTTATGTGATTAGGACCATTAGGTCCATAAATAAGCTTTTAGAAAATCTCATAATGTGTTTGTTAGGGGTGTTCGTTTGGATGGATCGGTTTGATCCAATCCAATCAAGTAAATCCAATTTGATTTCGGTTTTCAAAACATGAATCCGAATTGTCCAAACTAAATTCAAATCCGATCCAATTACAATTCGGTTGGATCGGTTTTTATAATTCGGTTTTCAAAACAGAAACATTTTAAAACGACATATAATTATAATATTATCCAACTTTACACAAGAAACAAAAACAAATAATTTTGTTGTGATTTAAAATTTATAAACAGCTAATAAGAAGATATATTATAGTTAAATATTTTATAGATACAAAACTTTTGAGAGAAAATTCATATTAATGTTTTTTTTATCGGGTGAAACGTTTTGAACCTATTTGAAAAAATCAATTACAAAATTAATAAATAACTATGGATATATATTATAAATAGATAAATAATAAATGTTTATTCGTTTTTTTTGGACTATTCGGTTCTTATTTTATAAACCAAAACCAATCCGAAATCCAAAATAATAATTCGGTTTTGTTGAAAACCAATCCAAAAATCCGAATATCTGAACCAAATAGTCCAATCCAAATTGTCCAATTGGATAATTCGGTTTTATCCGAATAGTGAACAGCCATAGTGTTTGTTAGACCATATCCAACCCACCTCCATTTTTCCTCCCCAAAAATGGAGTAAAAAATGGGGCAAATAGTGTTTCATCTCCAACCCTATTCCCTTTTTTACCCCATTTTTGCCCAAAAAAAATATATTTCATAGTATATTCCATTATTCCAACTTACATAGATTGTCAAACACACCCCTCTACTAATTTAGTTTTAACAAATATATAATCTATATTTTTTTTTCATTACATTAATATTAAATACAAACAATTATATTTATAATAAACTTATAAATAAATATTATACATGCATTCATAAAAATATTACACATACACACTTTTAAATAAATATTAAATAAATAAATAATAGTATTGTCACTTGTTGGTTTTTATTAGATTATTATTGTAATATATATGTTAACTACAAGTTTAATAGCATATGTTATTGTGTTTGTAATATATATTTTAATTATAAGTTTTTGTAAAATACGTTATCGTTTTTTAAATTTTCAATATGTATTTAAATTTTTATATGAATTTGATGAACGGAAAACAAACTTTATATTTATAATTAATTAATATAATTTAATATATAACAAAATATTATAAGTATTAAATATTATATTTAAATTATAATTAGTAGGTAAAAATGAACTAGAAATGTAAAAATATATAACAGATGGACTAAAACGCCAACACAAAGTTCACCCCCATTTTGGGAGAAATGAATAGTATAACACCATATTTGGTGTAATACTATTCATATTCCCCAAAATGGAAGAATAAATGAGAGATGGTTGGTGAAGAATGAGGAAGAAATGGGGGAAAAAATGGAGATTGGAAGTGTGTTGGAGATGCTCTTACATATTTAGGTTTGTAGATTGAGTATGAGGTGGCAAGCGGCAACAACAAGGTTATTGAAAAAGCTCATTTCTTATTGATGCTATTAATTAAATCACTAATAACTTTATAACATTCATATCTATTATTCACATGAATCAAATAAATACATGTAGTCACACTTCAAAAATCAGGCTCTGCCTATTTATTAGGTTAATGGTGTAATTGGTGGGATATGGTCCAGACCCACCAACACATACATACAAATACAATCAATTCGCATTGTTGGCTTGGTGAAAGCAAAGCAGAAAGCGGCCCCTCTTTTGACTTTTTTTCTATTATATAAAAATGTCAACCCTAAATCAACATAAACTGTGTACAGTATGATTCCATTAGTCCCGACACACCACCATACGTCTCTCTCTATATATAACCCATATACAAATTAACTCATACACCGTCACCCACCCTTTCTCTCTCTATAAATTAAGTCAGCGCCACCACCGGCCGGTGGACTCCCTCCTCCTTTGCCGGAGAAAGTGTTGTATTATATATATATATATATATATATACGTGAGTTGAATAACTAGTTCTAGTTGTTAATTCTCATTTCTATTAATTCTTGTTTATATGGACGGCGAGTGGGATTTGCATGCGGTGGTGAGGAGCTGCGCCACCACAACCACGGCAGACGTGAAGAATACCACCGTCGAGGATTACGATGATGGTTCTTATAACTTGGAAAGTTTAGCTTCTGGGAACGAGGAAAGAAACACTTTTGTATATCCGAGTTTTGCTAACGTTTCCGGAGGATTGGAGGATGTTTACAAGGCAGGGTGTGGTCAGCCGGCCGGCGCAACACCGGCGACCTCCGCAGCCATTGATCTCGATATTGTAGAAGGATTTGTTCACGAACAACTCCCGATGTTGACAGATTCTCATTCCTTTTCCATGCACACCATGAGTTCTCAGTCCACGCGCACCCGAAAAAGGTAGTTATTTACATACTGAAAATGATCACTCTAGTTATTCCATTTTATTATATTCTACTTGTATTCCTTATTTACATCATTTTTATTTCCATTCTTATTGTAAATTAGGTTTTAACTTAATTGTAACCATGATATTAGTTATTTTTAGAGGTGGTAATTATTAAATCACAAAGTTTTACAGCTAGCATAAGGAGAGTGATGCTCGATTTAAACATGAGATCGATGTCATATATATGAAGACAATTAGTATTAAATCTATGGTTTATATATTATTTAGTTAAACAATGGGATATATTTTTTGTAATTAAATGTTGCAACAAAATTTACGCTTGTAGGAAGAACCAGGAGAAGAGGGTGTTTCAATTGACGCAAGAGGAGTTGAGCAATGATGTGTGGGCATGGAGGAAATATGGTCAAAAGCCCATCAAAGGCTCCCCCTTTCCCAGGTTCTCTTCATCTATTACTATTTTCGTTATTGATTTTTTTAATGTTCCATTTATATGAATAAATACATAATTTCGATGGATTTTTATTAATTGTTTAATTTGTGTTTTGGAAAATAAAGAAATTATTACAGGTGTAGCACAACGAAAGCCTGTGGGGCAAAGAAACAAGTGGAACGGAGCCCTGTGGACGCAACCATCTTTATAGTTTCATACTCCGGCGAACACATTCACCCTAGACCCACTCACCGGAGTTCTCTCGCCGGCAGTACCAGGAGCAACAAATTCAATACAGACAAACCGCCTGTCTCTGGCAACACTTCCTCAGCTGTTCTTGAACACCCTCCCTGCTCTTCCTCTTCTACGGCGTATGCTTCAAACTTTTCTCCTACAACGTCTTCTAAGGAAGATGAATGTGAAATCAACGAGGAAGACGAATACGACGAAGACATCCTCATTCCGAATACTGTTATGAATGACGAAATATTAAAAAGGTTCCGAGATCTGAGCGGCGGCGGCGGTAGCAGTGGTGGTGGTGGTAACTTTTAATCTAATCCTCTACCACCAGGTTCGATGGAGGAGGGTGACGACTGAGCAATTGGAAATTTGACTTTCAACTTAAAAAGGTCCTATTAAATAATAGCTTACTTTTATCATATTTAAAAAATAACTTTTGAAGAGATTTTATTTTCTTACAAACAACAAGGATTTCAGAAAGGGTTAAACGCAAATTTCTTTATTCATACTTCACTTTTTTCAATTTCTGTAATGAATTATTATTTTTCACCGACTTTGCAACATTCTGTAACATTATATTGCTATCTACTCATATGTAACGTCTTGGGAATTTTGTAGTCTAAATATATATGTAAAATATTAGTAAGGTTAAGTAATCACAATTAGATCTGTCACTCTTGTATGGGAATCTCTGGCACTATTGATATATGAATCTATAATCAATCGTATTATTAACATGCTTAATTGATAACATCATTTCCCAATAGAAACCGATAAACATAATCATTGACTCACCGAGTATAGAAGGGTGATAGAATAACACCTAACAACACATAATATAACAATATAAACTAATAAGGAGTCTAAGTAGGAGTTTCTAACCATGAGTTTCTGTGTTCAATTCCAGACATATACTAAGTCGTTCAAAAAAAAAAAAAAACGATTTTTTTTTTCGTTTGTAATCATTAGGTTTTCCTAAGTTAATCCTCAGTGTATGAACCTTAACTAGTTATATGATTGAAATGTATGAACCCTAACTAGTTAAATGATTGAAATTAAGACATGAAAGTGACTATACGATGGGGGTGATAATAGGATTTCATCCCAAGATGTTAGAATTGAGATCAATTAGCCAAGGAGTGTTGTGCCCTAAGTTATCCGTCACATATATGACATAATGAGTTTTAGACAAAATGACATTATTTAAGTAGTGGATCAACGAAGTTCCTTGCTTTTTGATGGATGTTTTTTTTTTCATAAAAACGAGGAAATAAATTGAATGAACATACAATAAACGGTTAATGACTTGTAAGGGTAATAAACTTTTCATTGTATACATATTTATACTAATATAACCATGTATTTTAAGTTGATGCTTATTTGGTTGGCATTTAAGTTGGCATCTCCGACTACCCTGGTGTCTCTATCAAGAATGTAGTAATCTTCTTGGTGTGTTCAATAATAAACCCAAATTTATGGTGGGTTTTGTTAAGAACTCAAAAAGAATTGCGGTTTAAACCTATGTGTGTTTTATTTAAATTTCAAATCTCGTAAGTTTTCTTAAGAACTCGAGAAAACTTTTGTACCTAAGATCTTGAGTGAAACCCTCTTCACATACATGAACACACATACACATAAATTAGATTTATGGGTTCCAATAATATTTTTGTTCTTGGTGAAACCCTCTTCACAACACACACATCATATTTTCTGGCTTCTAATCATATTTTTGTTTTTGAGTGAAACCACACATATGAACACACACATACATCATATTTCAAGGTTCCAATCAAATTTACGTTCTTGAGTGAAACCCTCTTCATACACATATGAACCTAAAAAATCCCTCTTCACACGTTATTCATGTTCATGTGTTGGGAGAGAGAGGGATATAGAGAAAGAATCGAGATTTGTGTATTGAGAATGAAGAAGACAACATGTAAAGTGATTTTTGTGTTCAAAAAATGACTGTTTAATGGTAAAAGTATGTAAAAAAACTTAAACAACTTAATATAGACAAAATAATTCATTACAATTAAATAAGTGAAATTAAATGGGCTTACACTAAATTTAAATATTTGACATAATTAATCGGGCTGGATTTGGGCTTGCAGCTTTTGACGGGTGATCTACTCATCTATAGTCTATAGACTATTGAACTGACTTAACGGCAACGGGTTTCTAGAAAAGAGACTACTCCCAGTCCCACATATACCAAACGGAAGTGGTCGGAGAGAGCGCCGGGGAGAGAGAGGGAGAGATGTTTCTTCGGAGGTTTGCACGGCCGTCGTCACTGATGATGATGGCCAAAGTGAAGGAAACAACGGGGATCGTCGGTCTCGAGGTGGTCCCAAACGCTAGGGAGGTACTAATTGGTCTTTATGATAAAACCCTAAAGGAGATTCAGCGTGTACCTGAAGACGAAGGTTACCGCAAAGCCGTCGAGAGTTTCACGCGCCACCGTCTCAAGGTCTGCAAAGAGGAAGAAGATTGGGAGGCTATCGAGAAACGACTCGGTTGTGGTCAAGTTGAAGAACTCATCGAAGAGGCTCAGGATGAGCTCAAACTCATCGACAAAATGATCGGTTCGTCCCACCTCTTACTCTCTCTTCCGTTTTAGTTGTCAATCTGGATCTTTCAGTCACATATTAGCTTGGACGAGTTGGAATTGAAATAATTAGGTTGTTGATTTCGGATTTTTTAAAGGTATAAAGTATAAACACAGCAAGTGTAACACTTCCACTTACAGATTCACCTCCCGAACGCCGAAGAACTATTAAACCGAGATTACAAATCCCCTAACATCAAGTGAGTGAGAGGTAGTGTTTGGATCATAAAATTCAGGGCTTCGAAGTGGAATTGAAACTTTTTTAGTTCAATATATTGACTCGATTTCCTTCAATTCTGTTGTACAGAGTATGTGTCTATGTATTAAAAATGGATTAGAAGTATGTGTCTATGTATTAAAAATGGATGTGTCTATATATTGACTCGATTTCCTTCAATTGGTTGTTGGATAATCAGGGATTAGAAGTATGTGTCTATGTATTAAAAATGGATGCTTAAGTTCTAGTTTTGTATATTTTGTGAGATGTTTCAAACAAATTTACCAATTTGAGATGTTTGTTTGTTTGTTTGTGTTGGATTTTAGAGTGGGACCCATGGGGTGTACCTGATCAGTATGAATGTGAAGTAGTGGAAAACGATGCCCCGGTTCCAAAACACGTGCCACTACACCGGCCTGGTCCTCTTCCTGAAGAGTTCTACAAGACGCTTGAAGCTGCCATGGCTGGAACTCCTAAAAAAGATGAACCAGCAATCCCCTCCTCAGGTTCACAATGACACCATGTACTATGAATAATCAATTTTTTTTTTTTTTTTTTTTTGACATCTGCATGATTTTTATCTGCCAATTACACACTCGTTATAAGAGTTAAAATAAGCCTAACATTCATTCTGGCTTTCCAGCCATTTGGCTTATTGTTATTTGTTCATGGGCTCAAAAAGTCAAAATCATCTTCATACTGGCTATTTTCTTGTGTTTGTTGTAGCAAATAAAAACTGATTGTTCTTTTACGGGCAGTTAATTTGTGTTTGTTGTAGCAAATAAAAACTGATTGTACTTTTACGGGCAGTTAATTGATCTTATATATTCCTTATTGTATTGAGAATGAAAATTTTGTCCCACAAAAAATGTGGAACATGGTTTGACCCTGTTGACTGAACAAATGGATTTACTAATTGCTAGAATACAATTTACTTTGAAACATTGTTGATGAGAGGATTATTTTATATATATCCTGAAAACCCAAAATTCTATTAACGCAAAAACATATATAAACAAAGTAACCTAGAGCTTCCCTTTACAATAACGATCAACTAAAATTAAGGCATATTTACCTTTATAGAATAGTCTTGCATTTGTTTTGTTGATTTGCTTGTAGAAATCACAAACTAGGCTATGTTTGAGAGATTAACTAGCCATAGATAAAAGCTAGTTGCTAGCGAAATGTACAATAAAAGGAAGAATGATTCAAAGTTATAAGATTAAATGGGTACTATATTTTATTAATTAAGACAATTTTGTTGGAAATTTCTGAATTATCCTATATATGATGAGGTATAATAGGAGTTATCTAGTTGTGTGGGTTGACGAATTAGATACTGATAAGGATTGATGTTAGGATCCTAAATAGATGCAAGTTTGTTATGTCTTGTATTCTATATAAATACATGCTTAGTTATCGAGCTGTGATATCAAGTGTGAACAATTGAGTTTTTTGTGTTAAGTTTTTCTCAATAATAACCATTGTGTGTTTGGTTAGATCGTGTTCTGCTTTGAATTGGTATCAGAGTCTTGTTGAAAGGAAGACATGGTGGAGGGAGATACGCCGTCGTCTTCTGTCTCAGGGGGAGGCGATAAAGGAACGTCTTTTTCGTTTCAAGTGCCAATGTTAAATGCAACGAATTATACTGTGTGGGCAATTCGCATGAAGGTGATATTGAATGTTCATCAGGTCTGGGATGTCATAGATACGGGAGCGAATGATCCAAAGAAGAATAATGTTGCTATTGCCGTGATCTTCCAGGCGATACCTGAAGATCTTATTTTACAAATTGGGACGATGGATACGGCAAAAGAAATTTGGGAAGCCATAAAAGCTTGTAATTTGGGTGCAGACAGGGTGAGGGAGGCTAGATTGCAAACCCTAATTACCGAGTTTGACAATCTTAAGATGAAGGAGTCAGCTACAATTGATGAATATGCGAGCCAACTTTCAGGTATAGCGTCTAAATCATCTTCTCTTGGGGAAACGATTAGTGAAAGGAAGATGGTTAAAAAGTTTCTAACAAGCTTACCAAGAAGATTCATCCACATAGTTGCTTCTATAGAGCAAATCTTAGATCTTGGGTCAGTTGGGTTTAAAGATGTCGTTGGAAGGCTAAAGGCATACGAAGAGAGGACCTGTGATGACTCTCAAACCATTGATCAAGGCAAACTCCTACTCAACAAATCTATGTCGTCATCACGGAACAATGAGTCCAGTTGCGGGAAGGGTAAAGGCGGGGGACGAGGTCGTGGAAGTAGGAATAACAATGGGACAACTCACCAACAAAACCTGTCATCGAATTCAGCCATTGGTGAAACCGAAAGGATAAAAAGTAAAGCGAAAGATCACTCAAAAGTCCAATGCTATCGGTGTGATAAATTTGGACACTTCGCTAATCGTTGTCCGGAACGTAAGGTCAAACAACAAGAGGCTAATCTCGGTGATGTGGATGAGCAAGATCCGGCGGTATTCATGGCAGAA